AAACCCTAAACCCTAAACCGAATCGCTGCTGCACTTGCCACGTTGTCAAGCTCCCACGTCGACATATTCCAAGGCTCCCGTCGCAGACCGGGCACGTCGCCCGGGTCGAGCCGTAAAAAGATTACCTATACTATTTTGGGCGCTCCTTATTCCCCCCAGAGACTCCAATATCCCTTAATTAAGGAACATTCCTTAAATTATAGTAGGATCCTTAATATGACTTAAGGTATATTCCTTAATTAAGGGATTGGAGTCTCTGGGTTAAAAGTATATAATCTACCTCGAAACCCTATTCTGAGCACTAAGGCCCCGACATTGCAGCCAGAATGCGTCATTTCCAGGAGCAGGCTTTGCCACAGCTTGGTGGTTGCGGTTGTCGCGGAGTTGGTTTAGGGTTTAGGGTGTAGGGTTTAGGGTTTAGGGTGTGGGGTTTAGGGTTTAGGATTTAGGGTGGTCATTGTGGTCGGAGTCGGAGCCCCAAATCAGTCCTATCCCACACCAGAGATCTCAGACATTACCAGGAGGAGCCTCTAAAGTAGCTCGTGTATTTAGGGTGTAGTCCTAGCCTAGAACCATACAGCGGCGGAGGCTTAATGGTCTTGCGGTTTGGAGTTTAGGCTCTCGGGGTCTAAATGTTGGAGGCCACTCAGTCCCTCAACGCTAGACCCTAAACCCCTAAACCCCTAAACCCTAAACCCCTAAACCCCTAAACCCCTAAACCCGAAAACACCTAAACCCCTAAACCCCTGAACGCCTAAAGCCCTAAACCCCTAAAGCCCTAAACCCCTAAAGCCCCAAAGCCCTAAACCCAAAACCCCTAAACCCCTAAACCCTAAACACCTAAACCTTTAAACCCTAAACCCCTAAAGCCCGAGGCCCCTAAAACCCTAAACCCCTAAACCCTTAAACCTTTAAACCCCTAAGCCCCTAAACCCTAAACCCCTAAACCTTTAAACCCCTAAACCCCTAAACCCCTAAACCCTAGACCTCTAAACCCTTAAACCCTAAACCCCTAAGCCCTAAACTTCAGAGTCCAGTGGACATGAATCAGGCCATTAGAGCCTAAGCGCTAAAACCCCGAACCGTTAGGGTATAGGTTTCAGGGCTTAGGGTAATGTAAAGCGGCAGGCCCGTTGAATAGCCTAAGATTGGTTTAGCCTTTTATTTCCCTAGCTTGTTGGGGAAGTAAGAAATTCAAAGGTAGGTTATTTGTTGTCCAGGTAGACCCTAAAAGCCCTACAGCCCCAGAGAACGCCGCACCTTCGGGCCACAAGCCAAAGGCTCCAAGGCCCCAAACCCGCCCTAAAACCCTCCCAGGCACTGAGTCCTTCTTTTACGTAATCCTCTGGGCACTTAAATCCTATCCTAGCGGCTGAGTAGGTAACCTTTAACCTTTCGCGGCTTATATAATCTGTTATAGTTCGAAAGGTTAAACTATTTTGGGTTAGGGTACTTAGTCCCTAAGCCATAAAGCCCATTTTTAAGCCGTCTATCTGAACCAGGTATCACAACTTGTAAACCCTAAACCCTCTTTGGACTCCCATTAGCCATTTTTGAATGAAGCCCTTCTCTTCATGTGGTTTTCTGGACCACTAGCGCTTGCAGGCGAGCTGGCGACCCTCCATGCAAAGCTGGTGCGCACGTTTAGTGTTCAGTCGTTAGCCAAAGACGGTTTAGGGTTTAGGGTTTAGGATAAAGGTTTAGGGTTTAGTCTGGGGGTTGGCTGACTTGCGCGCTTTAGGGCGCACTATAGGGGCTGCAATAATTACCAATACTACTTGCGGGTTCCCCTATCATATTTATAGGAATGACGAGATGTGCCGTATGGGTTTAGGATTTAGGGATTCAGAGTTTAGGGCTGATGTCTGTTATGTGGGTGTTATTTTCACGAAAAGTCGCATCTTTCGGGGCTTCAGGTGTAATTAGGGTTTCGGGTTTAGGGGGTTCGTCCTTCTATCGGTTTGAGGTTAGGGATTTTGTGATGGCTACAGCTGTCGGGCTTCGCTGACTCGAAGGGAAGTGGGAGATTGGGTACCGTTAGTCGTCCCCCTTTTTTTAACTTAGTTCTCCAATACCCAACCTTTAAACTTTTGAGTTCTTATGGTATAGTAGTAATCTGAAAGTTTAAACTGTCATTTCCCTGGCTTAGTGGGGAAGTAAG